TTCCTCCTCTTTAAGAAGCGATTCTATCTTTGTTGTCAAGACTGTATCCACATTTCTATTTTAGGCTACCATGCTCAAATGAACCTGGCTTTCCTCATGTTATCACCTGATAGACGCTGGCCATAAACAGACCATAAGCGATGGTTTGAAATCGTTCCTTATCCATAATAACAGAAAACCATTGGCTTTTAGGTAGAGTACTTAAGAAGAGGCTGTTTTTCCTCTTCCCACCCTGAATTAATTTTTATATTTTTGCTGTGTAAATTTCCTTGCCAATTTGAACATTTTCCTTCCATCTAAATCTGATTGTTCAGCACTGAACCAAATGAAAAAAGTCCAGCTTTCCCTGAACCATTTTTGGGATAAATATCTTATGTTTCAGTCTGAAAAGTGAATTGGAATTGGTCTGCTTAGTTTCCTTTAAAATTGTATTATTGGTTTAACTACTGGGCTCATGGCAGGAGACAGTTGCATTTGAAGATGGAGGTACAGTCAGACAGCTGGAAGTCCCAGGCACTGAGAGATTGCCCATGGCTTTCTGTAATGTTGACCTCTGAAATCAGGGGCTAAATCTGCCCTACTTTTCCCTTTTAATCTCTGATCTGGCAGGATATGGGAATTTTGATAGTTAACTAGTATGAAATAACCAGAGGCCTAGGTGGGGTTGAGCAGTGCCACGTTTGCTCTGAGTTGGCAAATGCTGCTACATGCTCACTACATGTAAGGCAGTTACTAGGTTCCATAGGGAAGGGAATTTAAAGATGAAAGGGACACATTTCAAGCCTTCTGGTGGAGAAGGCAGACACCTGAATAAGCAGCCTCATCACCCACTTCAGACCTCCTCTATATACAAAGGGCGCAACAGCTTTTTAGCAATTCAGTGCCCAAGTAAGTCTACAGAGGGGATCCTAATTGAACATGGCACCAGGGAAGGAAGCCCTCTGTTCTCACTAAAGAGGACCACGTTAAACTCTGTGGCACCAGAAGCACAGAAGCCACGTGTGGTTGGGACCATCGGCAGACGGGCGCGTTTCACCAGGAATCTCTTTTCTGAACTTGCAGTTAAGACTCCAACAGATGAGCCTGAAAAAGGCTTGTTACCAAGCTGGGTGTTTAAATGTCGATAGGTCATAATTATCCAGCAACACCAGGGTGAAGCATCCCGACGGATGTATGAAGATCAGCTGCTTCATCTTTAACCAAAGGCTGCTCAGGCCCCATCTCTTAGAAGCATTTTTTTTCCCAAAGTGTGTTGCTTGGAGGTCAGTTTTTTTTTTTTTTTCCAAAGTGTGATAATTCTACTACTACTCACACTTCACAAATACTGGTGAGGATGAATAAAAAGTTTTAAAGCAACTTGACTTTCAGGAACATATTAGTAGAAGGACGATAGGTGGTCTACGGCATGGCAGAATTTTTAATGTTAAATTTAGTAACTGCTGGGGACCACAGAAGGGACTTCGCAGAGGGGAGGGAGTATGGCTGGAATCATGCGTCCAACTCCACTTTCAGCTCTCAGTTCTCCTCCTTACAATCTTCCTCAGTGCTTGAAATCACGTCTTCCTCTCTGTTTCCAAGTCCTTTGTGTATGTGTCCACGATGGCCCTGAGTCCACTTTATCTCGGGAGTTTGCCTCCCAGTTTGCCTTCCTTCCTAGTGGTGATCTCTTCTGGGAAATCACCTACTTGTATTCCCTACAGCGCATGGCACATAAAGGGAAACTTTGAAGAATGAGAGAATAAATGGGAGAATGAAAGCACCATCTCCAGCTGTTTCCTGATGATTAGAAAGCTGTGCTGCAAGGAAAGGGAGGGAAACCCCAGCTCCAGCACTATTCAGAAAGCCAGATTGATTTTTCAGGCAAAAGTAATTCATATTTTAGGATGACGATAGCTCTGTGACTTTGCAGAACAGTCAATTTCTATTTACAAGAACTCTGAGCAGCTTTATCCATGCGACACAGGTGCTAACAGAATGAAAGGATTTCATGTTCCTTTTGCATTTCCAGCTCAGCTGATCCTGAGTGGAATTAGAAGTCAGTATTTGTCCTGGGCATATTCCCATCCCTCTCGAAGTCACCCACTCCTCCATTTGGAGTTCCCTTCTTGCCGTCAGCTAGAAAGAGTCCCTGTGCTCCTATTGATATTTAGTGGACTACTCTTCCTTGAATCCGACCCATTTTTTCAAGAGGACTGCCAGTATTTAATGCAGTTAATTGAAAAGAATGAAGCTATAATGGTGGAATTATGGACTGCGATGGAAAACCCCCTTAGGTCTTAATCATTTAGCCAACTGCCTGCTTTGCCTTCTTACAATGCAATTTAAGTTCGCTCTAGCAGCCAAAGAGAACAATTGCAACCAAGTTCTGCTGGCCAGCCCGAGCTAGCCAGAAGTTAAGTGCATAAACTCTGAGTCAGACTGCTAGGTTCAAATCCCAGGTCGTCTACTCATTATTAGTTGTATGACCTTAAGCAAGTTATAAAATCTCTCCTATAAAATGGGGCTATGTTCTCTCCCTCATCCAGATATTGTGTTCAATGATATAATCTTTGGAAAGCACAGGACCAGGCTCAGAGTTGGTATCCAGTAAATCTAGCCATTATCATTCCATTCTTGCATTGGAATGTCCTAATTTCTTCATAGAGGCACAGACACTTGAAGTACAGCCATTTATTTCGTAGGCAGGATGTATTACCGTGTGGCAAAGAGAAGTAGATAGCCTTTCACTTGCTGAATGACCATGAAAAACTGACTTATTCGATCTTGTCTGTTTCACATCTGTAAGATGAGGGAGAACAGGCACGAATTTTCCAGGATTATAAACTTAAATTTGCCTATAGAAGCCAGACAGGTAAAATCATTGGTGACTAAGGCTGGGTATAAGACATCGGAGAGTAGTGGGGATTATCGTTAGTTGTAGAGTTTTGCTACTCAGTGTGGTGCACTTGGAGTTTGTTAGAAACAGCAGAATCTCAGGACCCATCAAGGACCTAGAGAAACAATCTACATTTTAATAAGATCCTTAAGTGATCTGTATGCACGTAAAAGTTTGAGAAGGCTGCTATGGAGCACAAGCCACCTAAAAGCATTCAAGTTTTTTTTTTTATTTTTTTTAATGTCAGCCAACTTAATAGCAAATTTGGGGTTGCATCAAACCTTAGGCTGCCAGCAAGTGATCATCGTAGTTGGTGGTTCTGAGATGCTGCCAGCTCTAGGATTCTCTCTGAGACTTTCTACTATAAGTTAGGGCTCTGGGCATGTGGATTTCTAGCCAAGACAAAGCCTGGTTTGCTTAGAACAGTAATTCCTGGAGCAGAAGATGTCTAAGAAGTTATTTGCTCAGCTCCCTGCCTTTTAACGGGTAAACTGTTACTGCCCCCACTATGAAGACAAGACAAGTGAGGTCCAGGGAGACCAATGACTCAAATCCAGACACTAGGAAGTGGTGATGGTGGGTATACTCCATCAGAGAACAAGACAATCCTGTGTGTTAGAATCAGCAACCATTCTGGTTTCCAAGGCCTGGAAAGTCTATTGATTTCTTTATATTCTCCAGTGATAATTGTTCTCCGTTTCTCTTGGCACCTCCCTGCCACTTCCTGGAAGCCCTGGGGACAGAAGGTTTCCTCCTTTTGCACAGAGAAGGCCCAGAGCCGGCTTCTGAGCGGATATCCGGCCTGCAGGATGCAGAGGAGGCAAAGGCCTCATTGTTCTTGGGGCCAATCTACCCCTCCCCCAACCCAGAGGACACTCGTTGCACACCCTCGGGGTGACCGAGTGCCCATCTCCCACAAGTGGGGTCTTCAAAGGAAGCAAGGAAGCGAGGCTGAGCGCTGAGCTGGAGTCTGATGCTCTGAACAAAAAGTGCAAAGGCGCTAAGAGCCCCAAGATAAATAAGCCCGGAATTTGAAAACGCATTTCCAACACCGCCTTGGCGCTGTTACTCATTAACGCTCCTCAATGCCGACTCAAATGATTCTGTCTGCGTTATTAATCTGAACGCGTTTGTTTAGACTGGGGATCGTTGATTTGCGGGCCCTACGTGCGGGAAAGCAGTTTAGTAGCCAAACGA